CTCTCGAGCGAGAATTACCTGTTTTTTGGCTGTTTGAGAGTAGAGAGGACTTCGACAATGTTTCAGTGATTGAATTTGAAGGCGTTCTTGCGTCGATCTTCGAGTTGAGAACTTGACGTTCATGATCTTTGAAAATGAAATCCATTTGCGGCTCTCAAAGAAGATCCTCGTATTCCGACCTCCAGCACGACCAAGAACAGCGATTGATCATGAAATTGATTGCAAAGATGAGCTTTCTCTTGTCTCTTCTTCATTCATTCGTCGAGTCGAGAGGTGTGTTGTCTAGAGAAGTTGAAAGATCTTCTTTTTTTTTATGATGTACCCAACCCAGGGCTCGGGCTGTTTGCTTGTTGATAATTTAGAAGTTAGACCGTATGGTTCTGACTTTTTCTAGTCGTCAAGTAGAGCTGCAAATAGGGCTGTTGATCCTCAAGCAGAACTGCAACACAACTATGAGAAATGTACTTGGAAGACTCTTCTGCTAAAGCTATGTCTCAAGAATATAGAACACAGAGGATAGGATAGGAATTGACTCGCCTCGGAGAGGTGAGCGTTCAACACGACTACGAAAACTCCGAAAAAGAATCTACTCTACTACACCGAGCTGTGCTTGAGCTGCGCACATAGCTGTCTTCTCCTTCTAAGTTTCTTGCAACTGGTGCAAAGGCTTGCAACGCCAGCAAGTGGGGGCAGATCTGCTTTGCTTTTTCAGATGATTGGGTTTCTCTTTTTCGGATCATTGGGCTCCTTCTCTTTTTTAGAAGATCTTCAGTAAAAAGGCCTGCTATCATGCTTGCTAGTTTCATTTGACAGGATAACCTGCAACAGTGTGCTTTTTTTCTTCTAATCCTTTCTTAATTCGTATGTAAAATAGTAAAGCTAAAGGATTAGTAAAAATATATCTTCTCACGATCTCCACTTTTATGAAGAAGTACGACTATCACTATTACCCAATCGAACTCTAGAAGCTCAGGCTTCATTCTGTACAACAACAAGAAACTTCATTACAGACTATCGCAAGTAATCTTCTATGGCATCTTGTTACTCGCCTTAGCTGCATTATGGGTCTTATGATCGGTAAAAATCTATCATTTAAGAACAGAGATTTTGCTGCCTAGAACAGAGATGACCCACAGGCCCAGCCACCGTGGCCGTGACGCTCTATATGTAATGAGCCAAAAAAAAAAAGAGTCTATTAAGTGGTCATATGATGATGATGATGCGTATGCTATCGAATAAGAAATATGTTATTCTTGTTGCTTCTGGTGAAAGAAGGGAGCCAAGAACAAGTGGCCAGATATTAAAGTCGCCTCTATTCTTCATGATCGGCATCGCTCCTGTGGTTTTCTTCCTAGCACCGGAGAATTAATAAGAAGAATGACGTCGAAAGTTCTAGATTGAAGGTGCATAAGTCAAGTGGATGTAGATGGTTAACCAATGTCCTGAGTAGAAAATCAATGTACTCACTTCCAGCTTTCTCTCATCCTAAAATTTTTTTGATTGAAAAAGAAATGGAGATGGGCAATAGATACTCTACAGGATGGAGCAACCTAGGGACTCCTTGTCCTTCGGGTTTATTTTGGAGTTGCTATAGGCTAGAAGAATGTGTAGAGTTGTGCGTCCGTTATTTCTCTCAAGTGGAGTGAAGGTTAGTTGTGCATTTCATTGAAATAGGTGAGGTCAGGATCTAGTCTATGAGCACCCCCACCTGCAGACTAGATTCCCGCCACCACAACATGTCGCCCGACATGTTGCATAGGTGGACCCATGCGTCCGGGCGAGACCCATGCACACAGACTTAGGCTTCAACAGATGACCTTCACACCATGACCGAGCAGACGAGAGCTATCTTGAGACAAAATGAATTACAAACAGCCATGCAGTAAATTTTGATGCACAACGGACTCATCCTCATCCAAACCATAAGAGAAGCGCACAGGCTCACAATACAGACCGATGGAGTAGGAGGTACAAGCGAACGCATTGAGTTACTTCTTGCGGTATTTCTCTCGTTCTACTTCACTTTCCAAGAACAATACTTCTTTTGACTTGCCTTCATGTTTTGAACCGTTATACACTCACTCCATTCCATTTACTTAAGAAGACGTCTATTATAAATAAGAAGCCGCCATAATAAATGTATAGCCACGATTTGGATTTTGTTTCCAAAGGTTAAGGTGTTCTATATTTGCTGCTGTTCTTTCCATTTAGTATAGCTTCTCTTCTCTCAGCTGGAGCTGCGCACCTCTACTCTCCGTAAGAAGGTTTTTCGAGGTGAAGCCTTCTTCATCATCAAGCTCAAGCTCAACCGAAGACAAAACGCGCCAAAGTTCGCGAACAGCTGGACCTTCATACGAAGCCCTCCTCTTCCTCTTCAGGCAACCACAACTTGTTCTCCAAGTAACTACACCATCACAACCACAACTACTACAATAGCAGGAAAATTCGCATTATCTTGTTTAGCGCGCCACTCTGTAAAGCAGATTTAGCTCGAGTTTGCTTGTCTACTTAGGAGCTGCGCCCTTTGCCTTTCTGGCTTGAGCGCTAGCCTAAACCT